AAAGTTGCATTTCAATGGGATTTGATTAAACTAGAACTAAAAGCAAATCCACCCCTCTCCTTTCCTTTCCATGATTTTAAATTCCTTTAATTTTCGTTCAACAAAAAAAGAATTGCCAATATTTGTAGTTTTTTCTTCTTTAAATGTGGTTGCCCACCCACCACCTTCAGTAAGAATAGTTCCAAACGCAATTGGGAACAAAAGTAGCCAATCAAGGAGCTTGATTTTACTTCAAAAGATATTAGCCCTGGAGACATGATAATCAAACTCCATATTAATGCTCAATCACATTATCTTTGGTTTTAGGTACATGGCATGTAGATTAGAGGAGCTTTTTATACAGAACAAACCAAAAATAAAAGGCTTAAAAGGAAGATCCACTTTTGTGCAGTAGACGACAAATTGTACGCTTTCCTTTTATATGTTATTCCTGTCTGCTGTTTTTATTTTTTTTAAATAACATCTTGTTTATCAAAAAAAAAAATCTTCAACATTGTGTTTGTTTTTTAAAAAGTAATTTATAAAAAAAAAATTTTAATTATTTTTATATTTATTTATTATTTAATTATTTTTTAAATTATTTTTATATTTATTTATTATTTAAAAATTTAATTAACAAAAATATTTTTCAGTTAAAGAAAAATTTAGTTTAGTTTACAGTAAAATATTTTTTTTGAAAAATTTAGATGAAAATACTTTCTGAAAATTATGAAAAAAAATGGAAATACTTTCTGGAAATTGTGAAAAATTTTAAAATATCATATTATTTACTAATTATATCAAATTTGATTCTCAAACTTTTGATTACTATATATATTTTGTTTTGAATATTTTTATATTAACTTTGATCCTCATTTTTATAATTGTTATTTATCTTTTTCCTTGTCATTTTTTATTAAATTTTTTTATTTATCAAATTTGATCCTCGTTTTTTTGATTATTACTTTTTTTATTTGTAATAATTTATAAAATATTAATTATTATTGTTTTAATTTATTCATCTTTTTTATTTTTTATTTTTTAGATTTGATCTTTATTGTTTTGACTATTTTTTATTTTATTTGAGATAATTTATGAAATAATATTTTTTTAATTTTAATTTTATTTTACCTTTTTAATTTGTAAGATTTTTTCCTCGTTATTTCAATAATCTTGAGAAAAATAAAATATTAATAAGTTATTTTCTAACTTATTTTTATGATATAATCATATATTAAAAATATTTTTTAATTTATTTTTTATTACATCATTAAATATTTTTAAAAAATTATTTTTTAAATAAAATTATTTTCTAATAAACAAACGGTCAAGGAAATCGCAAAGTGCTGGTCACATTCGTACGAGGACACTTACATTGTTTATTTCCTTTTTTCACAGTGTGAAATGACATGCATGGGGATAGCCTATGTTAGATTTTTTTTCTAAGATAGATGTGTAACAAGTAAAGAAAATGGTAACAACGTACGTAATAGCAGTTGAATTTTCTCATATGCAAGAAGAAGGTATTCTTATAAAAGCAGGCTGGTTAATTTTATAACTTATGAATATGAAAATTAAATTTATATTATTTTTTATTAAATTAAAATATAAATTCATCCGGTCAAAGCTAATATATTCATCTAATCAAAACTTGAATGAAATATTATTTGACTGAAAAAAATAATTAAAATAATATTACTTTGAATTAATCTCCCTAACACATCACCTAAACTATAGATGAGGTTATAAACCAAACTAGGTTTTACAACAATGAAAACAAGGTTGGCAGCATAAAATGAGAGCACTAGTTGACCGTTGGTTTAATAACCATGAGGACAATGTTGGTAGCCAGTTAATAACACCAATAATGTTAATTGTTGGTTTAATTTCTTGCTAGTGAAAAACACCAAGAGAGCTAAAATTATTTAAAAGAAAATATAGACAATTTATCTATGACTAATAAAATCTACTTAACTCATCATCTAAACTACAGCCATTGTATAATTTGTTTTTCTAGTTCTGATATAATATTATCTGTACTTTCATTAATATATATTGAGAGATTTTTTTCATTAGCATATTTAAGGAAGTACCTTATTGCCTGGTTAATGATGCAGGCACTGTTAAGGTATGTAAAAGTTATATCTCATACTGTTTGATTTTTTTTCTTGTTCTTTCATTACAATTTCATTAATATATTATGATGAAAAAATTATGTTTGTGCTTATTGATGGATTTAGAAATGAAAAAAATTTACTATTGAAAATTATTGTGATATATTGATAAATTTTTTATATTAATATTTTAATTTGTATTTTTGATATTTTTGATTGTGTATAAAAAGTTACCACTCCTTTTCCTCACATATTAATTACAAATCGACTAACACGACAATATCATATGTTTTCAAGCATGTTTGGGGTGTGATTGCGGTTATTTTTTAAAATATTATTTATTTAAAAATATATTAAAATAATATTATTTTATTTAAAAAAAAATATTTTTGATAACAATATATCAAAATAATATAAAAAACTAAAAACAGTATATCAAAATAATATAAAAAACTAAAAAAAATTAATTTAATTATAAAAAATAAAAAATAAAAATTTAATTATTTTTTAAACAGGCATAAATTAGGATATATTAACCCCTTATTTAAGAGTTTTTATGGCTTGAAGAGACGAAAACCCTTAATAGCATGCACTGCATGGCCCATAAATAATATATTCAATTAGTTATTATTATTGAATTGAAAGGGCAAGCTTCCTACTTGATTACGTGGGTATGAATTAAATAATCTATTTTTTTGTCATTAATCTTGGTACCTTACTTCCAAAACAGGAAGAAAGACAAGGTTACAAACAAGAAGTTCATGCAAGATCGTTAATGATTTGCCTTGAGCAGATACTCCGATTGCACAGCCTCTTAAATTCCATTTTTGCACGTGTCAAGGGCTTGCTTCAAAAACCAAGGAAAAAATAAATAATATTAACCAAATACTAAATTGAAAAACTTAAATCAAGTTAGTAGGGAGTGGATTGTCATTTGACATTGCAGGGATAAGCTTTCCGGGTTGATTTTTTTTTTTAGATTAACGTGGGTGTCCGGATTAGCTTGTCCGCACCACGATTAATTCCACGGGCCTTGAAGTTAACGACCATGTAAGCCTCCAATGACCATCATACGTGCAACCAAGGACTCGAATTTGAGACCACAGAGAGAATAAATTCCTTGATCCCAAGTTCTTACCACTTGGCCACTACCTAGATAATTCGGATTGATTTTTTATCGCAGCGGTTAAGGCGTGCAGCCACTTTCCAAATAGAGAGAGAGAGATAGTTATAATCTAGTTTTTATAGTTTGTCAAAATAAATAAATAAATTAATGCAGTGTTAAAAACAATCAACTAGTGTTGATAAATTTTAATTTAATATTATTTTTTAAAAATAATTAATTTTCTCTTCAAACTTTTCACCCCATAAACTTATTTTTTAGTCTTTTTCTAAATTAAAAATTAAAAAAAATTGTGAAACAGTTGAATAGAGTTGTGTTATAATTTAAATTAAAATTTTAAATTTTTTTTGAAACAGTTGAATAGAGTTGTGTTATAAATAAATATAAAAAATATAACAATTTCAGAGATTACGAGGATTAATTAATTATTTTTGCTAAACTACAAGAACTAAGTTATAATAATAATAATAATCAACTATCTCTGTATGCTTTTCTTTATCGCAATAATTTTTTTTATATATTTTTTTTAATTTAAGGCAAGCACCTTCCTTTCAGAGGGAAATGAATTTTATATTATGCGCCGAAACATATGAGCTAACTATAGAATTAAAAATTACTGACTTAGAGTTGATTGAACCAAATTATTATGAATTTTTATGGTGCTTATGGAGTAATTAGTAATCTTTTATTAATTATTTATTAAAATTATTTTAAAAACAAAAATAAATTTAGCTAGAGAGAGAAATTCTAGGTAATGATATTTTTATCATTTTTTATGGGTTATAAGTTTTATTTGTATTAGTATCTTTCTTTAAGGTGAACCCAAGAAATAACTAATAAGGTATCATTAATTATTTTCCCCAAATAATTTGGATATTTGGTATTACTCTAATAAGTCGGCACCATTGAATTGAATGGACTTCATGTTACCAAAGTATTTTTATTTTATATTTTTCTTGCTATTTATCATGAAGAAAAAAGAAAATTAGTATCCATTAGAAAATTACATTACATTACAGCACAACTGCATAAATTAATAAACAGAATATCATTTAATTAAAAAAAAGAATACTAAATAATTAACCTCTTGCCTAATAATTCGTGTATCAGCTGGTCTTCCTATAATGTTTGATAAGGAATTTCAGTTCTTGTTTATCATCACTTTACAAAAAAATTTCAGCTACGACTTTTTCTTTGTTTTTATTTTTTAATATTTTAACCAAATAAGACTTTCCCTTGCAAAGGGGGAAATTTTGTTTTTATTTGGATTTTGCAGGGAATGTATAGTGTGATATTCAAGCCAGATTATTTAAATTTAAGAAGAAAAAAAGAAGAAAGGGTGAGAAAGAAGTTGTTAGACCATAATATAAATTATATTTAAAAATTTAAAATATTAAATTGATATCATCTTTTGATGTATTGTATAAAATTAATTTTTTAATATGATATAAAAAATATTATTGACCGAATGATGATGAATTTGAAACTCTTCCTATCAATTGGTTTATTTTGTAAAACCAAGTATAATTAAGAATCTGTTTTATTTGATAAAATTAAATATAAAATAGTGATCGTTTTCAAGTAAAAGAAACATATTTAAAGAGGTATATTAGAAAAAATATAAATTATATTTTAGAAATGATTGTTTGACAGCAGTGTTAGAATTGAAAGAGAAAGAAGGATCCCGTTGGTCTATCAGATTTTCTTGTTTCTTTTTTCTCAAAAAGATATAAAGTCAACCTCAAAATAAACCGACCTAGCGGACACTGACTTTCAAGCGGGCCTTAACAATTAGGATGAAGATGATAATTAGTGTAACGAGGCTGATAATACAAAAGGGAAAATGAAACGGAATCTAAGTCGTCATCTTGCCTCCAACATCTTCTCATCTCAGATTATTATTACATCAGTACTAACACAAAGGATAGGAGTGGAACTGCTTAATTCTCTCCTCGATCGCCTTTACATGAAAAGCCATGATGTTAATAACCCATTAAACATTGTTGGGTGCTACAGCATGATGAGCCATCTCCATCCCATGATTTTTATTCTCCATCTCCTTTTCTTCTTTCACCTTAAGATATAGACCATGGACATAAGAACAAAAACCCCACCCACAAAGAACAGTGGACACTACCTTGACACCACCAAACTCATCTCCGTAGACCACCACCCCTCCTAACACGTTCATGGCCAAGAGGGCAGTCATGCAAATCCCTCCTGTTAGTGATGATGTTAAGAAAACCATTCCTGCTGTGCCCATGAAGCATAACTGCCAAGTAACCACGTTAGCAAACACTGTAATCCAATAAACCCTTTCTCCTTTATCAAACTTGACCTGGCTTTCCCGTTTCATCTCTGAAAAACCTCCGGCTGATGCCATCCCCATGGTCGCCAGAGCTGTGGCTGCAATCTCCATCACCAGCTGCATTTCCACCACCATCTCATAACAGTAGATCCTTCTGTATATCTTCTCCATGACTGGTAAATATAAGGCAAATAACAAGCCCGCTCCTATTGTTGATAAGAAGCCAAGGAAATATTTTGCACGGGTTAGACCTTGGGACTTGTCATGGCTTGAACCTAAAGCCAACAGAACTGAACTTAGGGTCAAGAGGATTACACAGTTGAAATTTTGAAAAGTGATCTTTTGTTTTACTATGATCACTGAGAGGATGAGATTGAACACTAGCTGTGAAGACAAAAGGAGAGATGAGGTTGATACTGGGAGATAAGAATTACCCCAAGAAAAGAGAAGGTTGTTCAAGCCTAACATGAGACCTATGAAGATTGATAAGATTAACAGTTTTGGAGTGAAGAGACTAAATGGACGTCTATCAGTGCATTTGAAGACATAAAAAGGGAGGTAGATGGGGAAGAGAAGGAGAGGGAAACCCGCGGATTGAACCCATGTAGAGACCCATCTGCTAGAACCTTGATGGTTGAAATAAAACTTCGATAGTAAACTAGAAGAGAGCGAGCCCACAAACAGGAACGAGTAGTTGATCACCAAAAGAAAGATATATCTCTTGTTTGTCCTGGCCTTTTGGTCTTCTTGCACACTAATATTTGAATCATTGCTCATGGTGATCCCTGGAGATTGTGATGATGAGGAATCTTGGTCTGGCTTTTGTTGTTCCTGAATTGTTTCGATATTGTTTTTGGTTTTGAGAGCACTTGGAGAGTAGAGATGGGATTTGGGAGAATTTGGAGGTGATGCGTGTACCAAGACATCCATTAAATTAAGAGGAGTTGAAACTAAGGAAATTGGTAGTCTCTTGATAATGAGGTGGATGACTTTTGATTCCTGGCTTCTTATATAAGGAGTGCACCAAGTTGATTTTAGGTTAGAAAAATGAACCTGAATTATAACTTTAAAGTGTATTGTGCATACATAATCGTGGGGTCTGTGATTTTTGGCTCATACATGTGAAGTTTCCTGTGGACGGCTTCAACCGAAAGCTCCAAGATTACAAACCGGAGAGAGAGGGAGAGAGAGAGATAGGGACCCAAGGATATAATCATATACTAATAACTTTACAATTAATCTTGCCTCTGCATTTGTTCTCTGCTTTCAATAATTTCTGCGTTCGATTAGGCTAGAAATACTCCAATAAAGAACGTAGAGCCATATATGGCAATTTATTAGTATTAAGTTTATCTATCCTATTGGTGTTAGGTTGATCTCCTATCACAAAAAAAGAAAGCTATTTATTTATTAATTCAGTTTTATTTTAAGAACATTAATGGGGGATGCAGCAATTTATTTGAAAGGGTAGGTTTAGGCTTTTGTATATATCTTCGTCCCCTTGCCTACAAAGTTCCAGCGATGAACCAGACTCTACATGGTATCCCTGATAGCATGGTGCCGGGAGTCTAAGACAGCAATGCAGCATCATAAATGATTGTCTAGAAAAGGACTGCGAAGGCAGGCTTGATTCGGAAAAGCATGAGAGAAGGAAGAGTTTTTGTTTCTTTCTTCAATATAAATCTTGACAAATGGCTCAGATACCACATGGTTATCAGAAGGAAAGCACAGGTGGAGGGAGAGTTTATGCTTCGGAACAGCTAACTTTGACTGATTATTAATTATCTCTCCCGTTTATCCTTTTCTTGCTGTAACTCCCCTGCCTAAGCCCACTTGTTCTTGCCAGATATCAACCAGTGAGTGAAATGTGAGCATGCAACGAGGTGGCATGATGGCAATGGCATTTCCTCACTTTTTCAGTTTTGGGTTTACTGGGTCTCTCACATGTGTCCGTCTCCCCCTTCAGGAAACGAAATACATGCTCTTGGGGGGCTAAGAGTAATTATACTGATATTGGAACTGTCACTACATGACTCTTTGTTTGTTTGTTTGTTTGTGGGATTTTTTTCAATTGTTTTTTTAATGAAAAGTTAATTTCTAGAGTATTATTTTTTGATATTCCATGATGTAGAAAATAAATTGAAAAATACTCAAATTATTTTTGAAATTTGTTTATATTTGAATGGTAAACTAATATAAAATATTTTAAAAAATTATTTTAAAAAAACTATTTTCTATAAAACAAATAGAGCTATATATGGAAAACAAATAAAGCTATATATATATTAGTCAGCACAGTCTTATTTAAAAATTATTTTAAAAAAATTACTTTCTATAAAACAAATAGAGCTATATATATATTAGTCAGCACAGTCTACATTTAACTATCTTATAAACTAGCAAGACTTGTAAATATTAGCATATTTTTTTTGTTTATTGATATTAAAATTATTATATATCATAATATTAAACACGTAGTTAAATATAATAACTAGTTAGTGCAATCCATGTAATATTATGACTACAATCAAAGCAAATTAAAAAAAATCATAAATCAATTATAATTCATACTTAAAATATCAAAGCATATAAATTTTGAGAAAAACCATATAAAACATTTACAATAAAAATATAATAAAATTGATATTTTATCTATGTAAGAAATCTCTAAATAAAAATTACGCATATCACATTCATATATAATTAAAAACCTAATAGTCTTTATTATTCTAAAAAGCTATAATACTATTTGAAAACCATGGCATGATCAAATAATTATTGAAATATCATTTAAATAAATTTATTTAAAATAAATCCTATTATAAAATTAATGTAAAAAATATAATTATTTAAAAAAAGTTATTAAAGACGTACTAGTCTATATTGTTCTAAAAAGCTATATATAATACTATTTGAAAACCATGGCATTATCGAATAATTATTTAAATATTATTTGAATAAAATTATTTAAAATAAATCCTATTATAAAATTAATGTAAAAAATAGAATTATTAAAAAAAAAAACCTAAATGGGCCTGGCCTGGAGACCCTGCCCCGCAAGCCTAGTCCAAAACTATAAATCCCAAGTCAAGCGCTTGGGTTAATATATTTCAACTGGATAAAAAAACCAAATGAAACCAAATTAAAAAAATGCATCAATTCACCTTTTCGGACATAATTAAAGGTAGGAACCACACCCCTCTTGAGAAACATGAAAATGCCAAGAACCGGGTCAAATACGAAGAAAGTAAGACTTGAAAGACCAAACCGCACATTTTGATGCCCTATGAACAATAAACGCGTGGGAAGTTTTTTTTTTTTTTTAATTTTAATTTTGTTCCATCTTTCAATTTTAGTTTGAAGATGGACGTAAAACTATTTTTTGTAAAATTAGTTTGTAATTTAATGTTGGAATATTAACCAACATATTGGATTTATGAGAACATGCAACCCCAAGTGACAAATAAAGCCATATCAACTAACTTGGAATGACCTCATTGTAGTTAAAAAAACAATAATGCCCAAGATTTAAGAATACCAAAATTTCTTTGACGTAGAAAAAACAGAAAAAGGATCATGAATAGTGATATGCACATCGAACTCATATAGAAGTTACATTAGATGACGTGTAGAATCTTCAAATATTTTAGTTTTTTTATCCGATTATTGCGATATAAGGTGAATTAGGTTTTTTAAAGTAAAAATAAATATCTAAGCATCGATAATATATTTTTAAATTAAAATAAATAATCATAAAATCGAAATATAATGTATAATGAGCGATATTTTTTTTGAATATTGATATAATCACATGTTGGGTGTATTTTTTTAAATATTGAGATAACAATATACTAAATTAATTGAGATTAACATATTAAATCTGTGACCCTATTCATTAGACCATATTAAGCTTATATAAATCATATAAAAAAATTTCATGAAGGCCAATTCCTAATTAATGTAATATCAAATGATGAAATTAATAAAAAAAATTTAAAAGAACGAAATAATATTTTAATCAACATGGAATAATTTGTCAAATTTACTATTCAAATTATGAGATTAGGATAATGTTATGAAAAAAAATAAAAAATATTACAAATTTTAATTTCCAATTAATCCAATATTAAAAAATAAAATAAAAAAAATAAATTAAATAAATGATCCAAAGAAACAACTTAATTAAACCAAAGCTAATCTATTAAATTCATGAAATAATGGATGAGATTGAGATAAATTTATAAAAATAAAGTAAATTATAAAAATTTATTTTTAATAAATATAATATTAAATGTTGATACCAAAAACAAAAAATAAATCTATAATATCTAGATATCTTCCCAAAACATTAATTAAAAAAATAATTATAAAATTTAATTTTTTAACCATGAATAAAATTAAAATTTTAAAATAAATAACTATATTTTTTTTGAATATTGATATAATAACATGTTGGATAATATATTAAATTAATTAAAATTAACATATTAAATTTGTAATCCTATTTATTAAACCATATTAAGCTTATATAAATCATATAAAAAAATTTCATGAAGGTCAATTCCTAATTAACGTAATATCAAATGATAAAATTAATAAGAAAAAATTAAAAAGAACAAAATAATATTTTAATCAACATGGAATAATCTGTTAAATTCACTATTTAAGTTACGAGATTAAAATAATGTTATGAAAAAAAATAAAAAAATATTACAAATCTCAATTTCTAATTAATTTAATATTAAAAAATAAAATAAAAAAATAAATTAAATAAATGATCCAAAGAAACAACTTAATTAAACTAAAGCTAATTTATTAAATTCATGAAATAATGGATAAGATAAAAATAAAGTAAGTTATAAAAATTTATTTTTAATAAATTTAATATTAAATGTTGATACGAAAACAAAAAATAAATCTATAAGATCTAGATATCTTCCCAAAACATTAATTTAAAAAATAATTATAAAATTTAATTTTCTAACAATGAATAAAATTAAAATTTTAAAATAAATAATTATAAGCTTAATTCCCAAATTTCCCTTCCCCTGCCTGTGTCCTCCGGCATCGAACACCAACCCGCTTAAATTTATTCCACTACAGAAACCCATTTTCAAAACTACTGCAATGGATGCGTTCGGCGGCTACCTCGTCGACGAGAAAGCGGTCCTTGTTGAGAACATTTTCCTCAACTTTCTCAAAAGGTTCGATTTTGGTTTTTTTTTTTTTATATATTTAATTTAAGAGAAAAAAAATGAATTACTTTAATGTCTTGTTGAAATGTTTCTGCTTTTCGTTTGTTCGGAGCAGTTTTAGATTAGACGAACAAAATCTAAATTTAGGAGAAGCGTATATAATGCTGAGACTGAAGCAATGAATCGACAACGATGTCTAAAGATTTCTCCCGTGTCATGCTTTTTAGTGATTTCCTTCAAAAATCCATTGCCGAACTTGAGGTATCAAAAGAAAATCACTTTCTTAGTAGAAATCTGTTAAGATTTTGTTCATTTTGTTTAATTATGATGGTGACTATTAGGTTTGAGCCGTATTTGAAGAATGCATGCAAGAGGTTTGTGATGGAGCTAAGCACAACATTTATATCTGATGATAATCCTAACAAGGTCATCAATGTTGCTTTCTTTAATACGCCTCTTTCAATGATGTACTTCTTCTCTTTATTTCCTTCATTGGTATTTCTGGCTTTGTTTTTGAAGTATAATTTCCTTAAATTTTGATGATTTTGTTGATGGGTTTTAGGAAATTGATCGAAATCCTTACTGAAATAGTTGATTCTCTGTAGATTGAAGCACGCAAAATTACCAATTACTGCCTCAGTTGATGAAAAGGAGGATTGGAAATTGATACTAGTGTCTCAATTGTATAGTTTGCTACCATGTTTACAGATTAAGAGAGCTAACAACAGCAGAAATTGGGAAACTGGTGTCAGTAACGGAGTGGTGACTTGCACAAGTGAGGTAAGGGCGGAGCTTTTACAAGGAACTTTTAGGTGTT